CAAAAAATTAAACTCTTAGAATGAACACACATGAAATAGGACACTTACTCGTACACTGTGCATCAGTGGATTATAACAATTTTCCAGAAACAGAACACAAAACTCTTTCAGAAATAAACGAATATTGAGAGTCGATCTTCTTTTAATGTCACTTTCTTTCATTGAGCGTCGATTTCTTGGTTTCCTGCCAACTGATTTTTCACGGTCAAAGTTAATGTTATCAGCAGTATTGAGAGATCTGTGATAGATCAGATCATTATCGCTGATGGACTTGATATTCTTTACACAGAATGTACCACCAAATCTGGAATGCCTGCAAAAAAACAGATAAGTTTACAATTGCATGTCAACTGTATTTGCACGATGTCATATTGTTTTAGTATGGTGAAACAGTGACAGAGATAACATTGAAAACAATTATGGCCAACAGAAAGGTCAATGAGACGATAAATCGGCTTTGTACATAAAAGGATATTTCCCGCCTATGCTATTGTACTACTATGCTATTGCAAAACCGATTCGAATCACCAGACAGTTTGATACTCTCGTTTCAGATGAAATCATGGCAAATAATCAATAACTATTTTTTTGTTACCATGACAACATTGAAAGTATCAATCACCTTGCACTGTATTGTTTTAATCTGGCTTTTCTTAAACTTTGATCTTTTTGTCGTAACATCTCCAGCTCATTTTCTTCTTGTTCTTTTTCTGCATCAGTTCTTCCAATTCCAGCTTTTGCGAGTTGCTCTGCGTCCTATAGAAAGAATCAAGAATGATCACAAGATGTCACCCAATAAGTCGTAGATTTTAGTAAATAAATTCAACATGATTAACTTAGACTATTTATCTTATCATTTTAGGCGATCAAATTCAGAACTGGTGTTTGATCGAGAAATTAAAATAATAATAACAAACAAAAATGAAAATTTAATACATGTTCATGAAATATAAAGTTGCACTTCACGCATAAACTGCAAAATGAAAATAAATAATACTAAATGTTTTCTAGAATTTGGGAGTTTTTTTGTGAGGAGGTGTGCAAAAAGTTTGATAAACAAGCAGCCTGTCGGCTGAAATAGCTCCACTGTTAGCAATGCACATTTCAGTTAAAGAACAGAAGATATCATTAGAAAATGAACAATATGTATAGTATCAAAACAATCAGATTTGCGGTTTTCAACAAGAAGTGAAAAATATCACTTTTTACCAAAAATGACACAAATATTCACCAAAATGAACAAATCTGAGTTAGAACCACATGTAGTACCTATATATGTAATATCAAAGCAAATGGACTTGCGGTTTTTATCAAGAAGTTGAAAATATCACTTTTTACCAAAAATGACAAAAATATTCACCAAAACTAGAGAATTGAAGATATCATCTTGAAATGAACAAATCTAAGAGAGGTCTACCAAATGTACATATACACCAAGTATCAAAGTATTCAGGCTTGTAGTTTTCAAGAAGAAGTCGAAAAAGTAAAACATTGACACAGACGACGGACAATCACTCATATGATAAGCTTCGCTTGACAAAGTCGACAGCGGAGCTAAAAATGGTGGACGTCCAGAGTCCTCTGCATACTGGAAGATTCCATTTCACTTAATTGGGTGATTCAGAGGGAAAATCAGATTGCATTACCAGAGCGACTAGCCTGATATTTGACCAACTGGGTACATACCATTAACAAATTCAAGAATATATGTAGTGAGGATTTTTTGAAAATGTTTTTTTAACTTTCAATCTTCATCAAATGAAACACCATCATTTTGGGGCTGCTCACCTGTTCTCTTAACATCAATGATATTATCTCTACTACGTGCATACACCATTGCTGTTCTCCGTCTGAACTTGATATGTACAGTAATAATTTATCCATACCACTGGTGTTTAACACCCACAGAACTCGGTCATGTATACTAGCATCATCATCAGTTCTCTGCAATAAATAAAATGTTACATTAATATATCAGTCATTTTAGCACTTATAATGGCTGCCATTCGGCCATTTTAAATAGCATCACAAAGCGAATGCACTGGCAAGATGTGAAATGTGCATAAGAATTTTCAAAATCAACGACTGGCAAATGGTTATCAGAAAACAAGATACAACTATAAAGGTGA